TCATACCCTTGAAATAGTTGACAAAATAAAAATTTGTTGGAAATGCCAAGTGTTGCATTGATTTACGGACTTGATCCAAGTTTGTTTTGTATCCTGATAAATAGATAAATTTCCCATTGTTGATCCATATATGTGATAGTTAAATGAAAAACATTTATAATAATCTGAAACGTATAAAGATTACATTTGAATGCATCAGGATCAATGTAATAAACATTGTCTCAAATAGGTAATGCTATTGCAGGGAATGTGTTTTTGGCTTTATATCGAAAAAGGCAGTCATTTAAAGTACTTCCATATTGCTCCACGAAAATAGTGGTTTGTATAGCTTACTTCATTATCATAAAATCATATGATCAGAAAACATTTAAAACAGTGACTATAATATTTATTCATTTTTAATGGAGCTATGATGATGAGCAAGTTTCACAGAGGTGAGATATTGCTATCAATAAACAAACACATAGTGAAATATTCTTTGTTTTTTTTTTGACTACACAAACTTCTATCGAAATAGTTCAAGATTTTTCAGATGTTAAAAATGAACGCGACAGAGCAGCTAGGTCAATTTTACAATTGCAAAAATTAATAAGGATGGTTGTTATCGTAAAACGTTTGTCTTTAATAAAATTTTAAACAAATAGGCAAAACTCCCATTATTTGAACTGTCTAAATCAAAGACTCACTGAAGTATGACCACCAGTTGTAATTAGATGTTCGTAAAACGATACCTGATAAAAACTACGTAGTTCTATATAAAAAGGTTTTCATAATATCGTAATATGCTTGAAACCAAAGTGAATAAATGCTAATGCAACTTCATACACCACATGCCTTAACTACAGAAAATATGTTGAACACAACTTAAGTGCCAATTTTTAATGTCATATAAGTATAACAACACTTGTAGCATAGACATTATAAATGAAGCTTGATCATAAGCGTAAGGTTACAGTGCATCAAACATGAATTAGCAATCAATTGTGGTATGTATAACTTTTCACATGCTTACTGGGATCAATATTTATATTTCTTTAATTAAGACTACTATAAAATCGATTTTGTATTCTAAATGATCATTTATTTTAAAGTAATATTATTATCACTGTTCTTAAAATATGACAAGTGTTAATAATGGAGCAGGAACTACTGACGCGCTTAGAGCACATGTGTTTTAAATAGGGTGACATATTGCTGACTCACAAATTTTCTGTAAAAATAGTTTAGATTATTGTTTTTATTTCATCATTTTTTTACCATTGTACTGTAAGCCAGTATTTAACTTATGGTTTTTAATTGCCACTTTTCCAGATCCTCACTCCGTTTTGTAAAGAGTCTTAACAGAGAGTAATAAAATATTCGTCAACACTCAAAGAAGTTCCGTAAAATAAAAAAGGCTGAAGCTACCGAAGAAATATTGAAAATAACAAGTCAATGACAAAGTTACAACCCCATGACAAAAAAAAAACACCCAAAAAACAAACAAAAGTTTACAAAACAGAACATAGAAAACTAAAGAATGATCATCAAGAAACCCATCGCAAACTGGGAGTGATCTCAGGTGTCCCAGAAGTGTAAGCAGAACTTGCTCCACATATGGCACCTGTCGTGTGGCACCTTTCGTGTGGTTTATGTAAGTTCAAAAACGGTAATTAGTCTAAATGTTATGTATCGTTCGTGGAAAAGAAGACGAGACAGTGGTTACAGCATTTGGAACATATTCATCTGTGAAACATATATTCAATAATGGTCAACCAATTCGTGATAGAGTCCGTCTTATATGTGTTTATATGTCTTTTGATTGAGTTAAGCCATTTCAATTGATATTTTGTAGTGTGTCTTTCTATGTTTTGATGTTACACTATTGTTTCGGGTAAGGGTGAAGGTTTGTACCTATTAAAACGTTAAAACCCGCTGCATTTGTTTGTACCTGTCCTAAGTCAGGAAAGTGATGTTTAGTAGTTGTCGTTTGTTGATGTGGTTCATAAGCGTTTCTTGTTTCTCGTTTTTTATATAGATAATACCGTTTTTTCCCCTTTTAAATGGTTTACACTAGTCATTTTGGGGCCCTTTATAGCTTACTGTTTGATGTGAGCCAAGGCTCCGTGTTGAAGACCGTACTTTAACCTATAATGGTTTTTCTTTTACAAATTGTGACTTGGATGGAGAGTTGTCTCATTGGCACTCATACCACATCTTCTTATATCTATTATAATCTGGGAGATATATACTCCACATTCAGGCGCTGTTGGAATTTTGCTACATAGAAATGAAATGTTCACAATTGGGAAGCTGAAATCGCTTCTTTATTCAAAAGTTTTGTTCGCAGCCGACCCTCATTGTCAATTTATATATGTAAGTCAAGATATGAAATATATGTATTTCAACATCATCACTTGGAAACTTTGGTTTAAAGGCTTGCTTGTAAGCACAGCTCTCTATCAAGGAAATAATGAAAGAAAATGCAAGCTCTGGAATATCTTATCAGCTGGGAGATATATACTTCACATTCAGGTGGTTTTGGAATTTTCGACTTAGAAACGGAAAGTTCGCAATTAGGAAGTTGAAATCGTCTCCTATATTTAAAAGTTTTGTTCGAAGCCGACACTCATTGTCAATTTATATATGTAAGTTAAGATATGAGGTAAATTTAACTGTATCTGTTTTATCCTATATTTCAAGTTCGATAGGATATATGCGTTTATCATAGTCACCATTTTTGTAATGATTGGACATCATCCATATAGCGGAAAGTGAATTTAAGAAATAACGCTAGCTTCTCTTCGTTCTTCAGCTCCTGTATGAAGTCTTCCTCATATGAATAAGGAACAAACCGACAAGAAGACTAGAAGAGTAGCACTGTTTGTTCCATTTGGAATGCAATTAGTTTTTGGTAAAACACGTCCTTCAGACGTAACAAATATTCAGTCAATTAAAGGATTACATATTTGATAATATGTAATTTGTTTGAGATTATTTTTTTGTTTGAATTAGCGGATTAGTTTTCAACAAAGTGAGATTGTCACTCTTTGTCATTCTTTCAATTTGTTTTTTAGTTTGAAATGGCGAATTCTTGACATGTAAAGGGATAGAAAGGTGATTTTTTTAATTGTATTTCAAGAAGAAATAGACGTATATTGTTCGCACTAGATCCGGAATTTTTAAGTATCCTCTTCTGATTCACATCGCCCCTAGAGTAAATAGAAACAACGATATACCCGCTTATTACACAATCGATGTTGATAGTAAAGAAGGACACTTATGTCATTTAGGTATCAAATAAAATGATGATAGAGTCAGTTTTTTTTTAATTGATTGATATTAAAAAGGAACATAGAACAAACCTTTGATTAATTCGGATATCTTTTTGGTGAGTGTCACTGGGGGTATATATTGAGTTTCAAAATTATTTATCAATACCTATATTCTTTACAAGGAATTGCTGTAATGTGATTTACACACAAGAACAGTGTTGTGTGGGGCTTTATCTGATTCAACAACATATTTGTCATGGAGGTAGGACAGGTCTTTAAAGATCGATGTCGTAAAAGATATAAGGCTTAAAATTATAATAGCATTTGTATTCATAGACCCATCCAGTTTGTGAATTCTTATTTTTATCAACGACCTCACTTTCTTAAACCATTCGGAAAGAGTTTCTATGTCTCCTTATTTACGTTTAGCTCGTTGCCTCTTCTGAAACCTTAAGTATTTTAAAGTTATGTTTCCAATTGATTGATTCACATTTCGCAGAGAATGAAAAATGTTATTCAGCTCTACATACCGATCTAAAATGCACAATGGAAAATGTCAGCTGACATAGCTGACATATATATATAAAATGATGATTTGAACTTTGTTATCACTTAAAAAAGAAAGGTTAGAGATAAAAAGAGGCCATTTCAAATAAATCAGTTAAGATGACTTGACAACGCCGTGGCAAAAAAAAAAAAAAAAAAAAAAAAACGATGAATAAACTGACAAGCTCAGAAAACATTACAGAAAAAAACCTAAAGACTGAACCGTTGTCGCAAATAGAACTAAAAACTGAAAAATTATGATTCAAATTAGGTTGTTGAACAGCAAGGTATACAAGCTGATATACTTTCTAATTCATAAAGAATGGTTCTTTCGTCAGATGATCCAACAATTTGAAATAATTACTGCCTCTCACTGAAACGGTCAGTTTCAATTAAATTTTATGATGAAACTACCTCATATTGGATTGAGCGTTCGTGGCAAGGATAAATTTATGTAAGCGCTTCGAAGCACCATGATACTAATAAAGTGTTATTTTCATTGATAATAAGACATGTTCTTTTTTATATTTGTGATTTCATGACCGACAGAATTAAAAAAAACAGCTGTATATTTCATGGCTAGCTGCCGGAAGTAGTGAGCACATTTTGTCCCGGCTTTTCACATTATGTGATATTATTTTTTAGTTTGTTCAAGTTAGCGGCTATCTGATTGAGAACACTGTACTGAATGTTTGCTTTAAGTTAAATAATATGCTGAACAAATACATAAAAGAGAAGGTTTGTGCGCACGTAAAACTGGATTAAATTCACCACATTTTGTGCAGGTATTAAGTCAAGCAATATAGACCGTGTTTTAATTGCTCTTGTTTTTCTTTGTTTGAGTTTCTGTTATTTTTTACAGAGGTTGTGGCTAGTGTAGTCTGTTATACTGGAAAGACAAGCTGCAAAATGCATAACCGAATATCGAAGGTAGTTGATCAGTTTTCAAAAGTTGAAACAAATCTTGCTTTTGATCAAAATGGAATGCCACTGTGTTCAACATATAAGTAAAAGAAGCTCTCTGAAGCACTATATAAGTTTCACTAAGATAGTCCTAAAGAGTCCGAATAATCCCTTTAAAAATATGTGGATAGATTGACAATTGTATATCATAACACGATTATAGTGTATCTGAACCGATCAGTATTTGAAAATAACAAAGGTACTTAACCAGTTTTCAAAGGTTTAGAAACTAATCTTGCTTTTGATAAAGTCGGAATACCTCTGCTTTGAACATAGGAGTAAAACGAGCCCTCTGCAGCCCTTGATGGCCCGGTAAAAGGCATTGGCGTATTATCCTGTAACAGAAAATTGAATTCAGTAATCAGCACCCCTTCTAAAAATTCATCGAAAATACCAAGGTCATAATTTGTTACTCCAAACACGCCTTTCTACATAAGAAAATGCCTGTACCAAGTCAGTAACATGACAGTTGTTATTCATTCGTTTGATGTGTTTGAGCTTTTGATTTTGCCATTTGATTATCGACCTTTCGTTTTGAATTTTTCCTCGGAGGTCTGTATTTTTGTTATTTTACTTTTTTCGTCTACATAAACTCATCAGTGACGATCGATACAGTTGGAATTTGAAGAACATTGATAACCAAAATAACGATGAATTGTGCAACAAATGACTCGTACATTTTATTTGGAAAATTGGAAACAATATCAAGTAGATTGATTATAGTTTAAGGCTTGCATTTACGACAAAACATACATGCATGAGAAGAATCACAACGGCCATATGAAAAATTGGATGATTTTGGCAATGTTTATTTATGTTATTAATGTTTATAAGTTTTAGTATTGTTTATCAGTAAGGTTAGACAGTATAGATAGTGTTTATTGGTAAGGTACGATAATAAAGGTAATGATTGTTAATATAATTAACATTTATTGGTAACATTAGACTTAATCACTAATTTATTTAGTATTGATAATGCTTATTTATACATTGTTATATTAATGAAGGTTTTTGTATTTGTTATGTTTCTTAGTAACAATAGATTATAAAAAAAATAATGTTTATAGTAACGTGAGATAGTATAAGTGATGGTATATCTATTAATAATGTTAATCAATATTATCAATGTTTATAAGTATAGTATTAGATACACAACAAAGGTTACAAAAAAAAGACAGGCTAGTAACAACCGTTGCCGTATAGTTTTTCTGCACGAGTAGTCAGGTCAAGTCCGAAGCGATAGCCGGAGCCCTTGACCTGACTACTCGTTCAGAAAAACTATACATCTGGTTGTTACCATCCTGTTTATTATGTTACTTTTGTTTTGTATCTAACTTATAAGACGTTTTTTTTATTAGAAAGTAATACATTTTGCATTTAAGACGATTGCAAAATTAAAAAGATTGAACACAAGAAAAAAAATTGCATACCGGTTTATGTACAACGATATTTGGAGATATATAGTCTTTAATAAATTAGTGATTTTGCGTTAACACTAGCGCTTCTCGTTTCTATCAGCTGTGTGAGAGTAAAAATAATAGTAGAAATAAGTTAGTGTCCTCTTTCCAATAACAAAATAAATTGCCAAAATGTTCGGCTCCTACGCTCCTTCATTTATATATACCCCTTCCACTACGACAAAAGCATACATACAAACAAACAAACAAAGCCAAACAAAGTAATATGTTTTGCCTCTTCCATCGCCAATTTTGAAAGTGGGGGGGAGGAAGTTGCTCCCTTCCCCGGCTCATACCCCCGAAAAAAGTCCCCAATAAGAACAAACAAAAATATGATTAACAGATCTAAGGCATTTAAGAATTCAACGACGTATGCAAATGGAATAAGAAAGAGTAATCAGACAAACGTTAAATATGTATAAATATTGTCAAAAAAATATAATAAAGAACAATATACAATGTATATAAATATTAAAAAAAGCTGTTTCTCTGTTTTATAGGGAATAACATTCAATGAAAAATAAATTTTGTTGTCTCTTTTTAAATTTTTAGATCGACTTTTAATATTTTTTGGGGGTTTAATTTCATTACAATAAGTTGATATTCAAGTAGACCCAAGTATTGATCACTAAACACAATTTTTTTTTCAATTTTCATCCCTAAATCCAAAATTAAAGGACGTTTAATAACGGGGAGACTGATTTTGTATTATCACAATTTGACTTAAGAACATTTACGTTACTATAAAATCTTCAATTCAATGTAATTATATCTACAAACAAAGGTTAATAATTGGCTCGTCGTCAGGGTAACATATCACATATCTATCTTAGTAAGACGGTTTCTTGTTTACAATAGACTTTTATCCCGTCGCAATTTTCGGAAGTATAACAACACGGGAAAAATTCAGCAGTTTGTGGATATCAAAAGTACACCAAAGTTGAAACGTGTTGAATGAAGCTTTCTGTTGTGTTTTTAATTTGATACATTATATCAAAAGTAAGGATAAGATTTGATGATTTCTTATATACAATGACATGTGAATGATTCTATAAGTAAATGTTTTTTTAACAAAAATTACCCGCCAACGAATCCAGTCTGTATCATCACTCCAAACATCTTGTTCTAGAAAACAGGTTTGATTAAGATAATTTTCAGCATCGCATTTGTAATCTGTAAAACATTTAATACTGCCGATAAATCGGAATTCAAAGTGAAAGCAGGAAATGTTTGAATATAATAGAATATCACTACATATTTAATAATTTTTCTCAGTCACGTACAGATCAACAAAATTCAATTAAAATCGTTTGGTTCCACATTTTGCATGCAGTAACTGTTTTCCAGTTATCAGGGGGTAAAATCGTGTTGCACAAAGTATTCGTTTTTTGATGAACACTAAAGGAATAGGAAAAGGCTAGGATATTACAATTTTCATGCATAATAAACCGATAATATTCACACGTCCAGAATAATTTAATACTTTAATATAACAATGTTTGTAATGCATGATTTTTCCATGAAACAAATACAAATCAAATGAAAATATAATTTCATGTTTAGTATACTTGTTTCATCAAAGCTGGCTAAGACACACTGTTTGAAGGAGTTGTTTTACCGAAAATGATACACTGGACAATCATACGTTAAACATTTGATTACTGCACTTAAATATTGCAGCAAACAATTAACTGTAAAGTGTCTATAGTGTGGTCATTATGAGTAATACATGAAGACCAGTTGAAATTAAAACTTTGCATGGTTGATAATGTTGTTTGACATCTTAAATCTCCCATTTTAAATCTCAATATCAGTAGATTAACAAAACTACATTAAAGCACTTTCACTCACTGATACAGTACAAGAAAACCACTTAATCAAATAACGAGTATAAATAAGTTGCTAAAGCCCGTAGTTAACACTCTGTTTTCAATTGGAAAACTATATGACCTTTAAAAGAAAGATGCTTATCAGCCATGTTATTATAAATGTCAAAGTAATACCTATATAGTCATCTCCGGTAAATCCTTTGATACATGTACATATGTACCCTGATCCATTGACTATACACTGCGAATTGTTCTTACAGGGGGAGCAACATGGTGTCACTGAAATCAATTATAAATAAAACTAAAGACTGGATATTATCGTATAATTAGGTATTCACACTTAGCACGGCTCAACTATTACGTGATACAATAAAACAAATCATTTATAAGGACGGCACTACCTTTATAGTTATTTTTGTTTTAGGCAAAAGAGTTATTTTCAGTTACTTTTGTCTAACGGGATACATTTGATAGGTTTTGTTTGAACTATGAACTGAGAATGTACCGGCAATGGTCATCAAAGCAATTAATCAGCTGTTTCAATCACCATTAAGTGTTTAAGCCTTTCAATAAAGTAATCACTGAACAAAATTATACATTATTTAAAAAGATTGTATTGTGTGCCGTGCAGGTTTTCATAAAGGAGAATGTACGATTTGGGGCACATTTAGTATTTTATTCAAATAGTTCTCAAAATATCTTTAATCTTCAGAATCAAAGATATACATGTATCCTCATGCTTTAATATAAGACAGCAGTTTTGGTATAAATATACTTTAATCCATGGGTAATGCAGCTAGAAAATGATAAATCAACTCAGTACAATAACCATTGACAGGTATGTTCTGAGGAATAACATGGAGCACACCGTCGCCCAAATAGACATTGTTTACATTAACTGTATTTGAGGTTTATCAGTTAAATGACATGAATAATGTTTATTACTTTTTAAATGTGCTTATTGTTAATTTTGCCAAAATATTAAAATGAGCTTATTTGTGCAAAAAAAAAAATGAAATAAAAACCTGTCGACTATGATGTCACTTCAATGATTTAATGATGTCACATTCAAAATATGTCAAGGCCTGACTGATATCTACATCATCTGAAAACCTTTCTCCTGATGCTTAAACGTGAGAATAGTTTTGGTATCCTACAATGTTTTGTCTATGGTGAATTAAAATGCATACATTAACTCTACAATGCAGGCAGTTTCTTAATCATTTATATTCTAACATGTAGTATGAGATGCACGAGCATAAATTTATGAAAAAACTTTATTCTCTTGCGTTTCCTTATTCTGTTTATATTTTTTGAAAAAAACACACAATAGAATAGTTCTTACCTGCACATTGTACTCCTGAAAAACCATCTGAACAATTGCACTTGTAATACGGATAATTCGAATTATATTCACAGTATCCATTATTTACGCAAGGATTACTTGTACATATGGTAACTACACAATATATACAAGGTATTACACATGCTATATATATTTACTGCTTGTGAGAAAATGACAATGTATCACACCAGATCGCTATTGATTAATATCTAAAAGACGGTTAAGTTGATACTGTTGTTATTTCAATTTTATAACATACATAAAATGTAAACCATGATGTTTTAATTTATTAAAAAAGATGACTGGGGTGCAAAGCACGATAATTGGACGCTTGGAATGCTTATGGACCAATTAATACCGAAAATCAAAAAGTAGTATACATATTCGTTCTAATGCGAAACTGCAAACAACTACAAAATAGCCACATTTCAGATATTGACATTAATATTTTGATATGAATTAAGACCTTACTAAACAGTAGACTTTGGTGCAAGATAACATGTAAAAAGGTGTTATGGGGATGATAAAACCTTCTAAGATGAGCGACAACTTATTTTGAAATATAAACGACAATATCTGATAAACTCTGTGTAACACATATCCAAGATAGTGGTACACCAGACGCGCGTTTCGTCAACACACAAATCATCAGTGATGCCCGAAACAAAACAGTTGCAAAACAAAATCAACCCAAAGTTCAAGAACATTAAAAACCTGAAACTCCCTGAAAGTTGAACCAAATAAGGCTAGGCACTTTATACTTTCGAGTAGAAAAAACTTTATTGTACAGTATACAGTTAATTTATAGAAAACTGAACACATCAATCATATGTCATGTCATCACAAAAGTGTTTTGAACTCGTTCCTTTATTTCACACAAATAAATACACTGTTCCCCACATAAATACGAAATATCCTCGTTCCTAGAATAATGTTTTTTTGACTTATTTTTTACTTTTCGATGATTATAGATACAATACTAATATGATTTAAATATTACCTTCACAATTTTCTCCTGACGAAGCAGTCTGACAATTACAATTGTAATACGGATATTTCAAAGCATATCCACACACTCCATAATTAAGACAGGGGTTAGTCATGTTACACACGGTAACTACAATAGTATGAAAAATATAATATTGGTTTGATTGTTTTTTTATAGCATCGTGCACACAAATGAAATTATACAATTTATTTGAAATGATAATTTTACGTTTATATATCTAATTTATAAAACCTCATCAAAGATACCAAGCTTTTAATATATCAGCAAATTTTTTATTTCTACATTCTTCTTGTGTTCGCAGGATGCAAATAAAATTCAGTGATAAGATTTATGAATACATTTAGGATGTATAAAATCACTATCACTGCTTAATATTTCATACAACTGTACCTAAAAAGTCCAATAAAAAAATAAAATAGAGAATTCATTTTAAAGGTAGTACAACTAAAGTTAAATAACATTACTTTTGGATGGATATTAAATCTGTTATATTGAATACAGTGTCGAACGAGTATAAAAGCAAAATTCAAGTTATCGAGACAGTATTCGTCTGACACTTCAAGTGATATATGAATATGCATAATATGAAGTAAAAAATCACGATTACTATAAGTATATGGTTTTTTCCTAGAATTAAATCAAGTAAAGAAAGAGAATTAAACATGCTGTATATTGCAGAAAAGGTTTGGCAACACAACTTTTGACTGAATAAAAAATAAATGGAAATATCTATTTATCCTTCAAGTTTTTGTTTTCTTAATCTTTAATTAAGTATGTATTCAAAATTACTACAGTTATATTGGTCAAATATCGGACAGCTGCACTGTAAGCAAACTTTGAAGGAAGGGATTAAAATTGAAAGTCATAGTTTTAACAATTGTTTTGACATGGTCTATAAAAAAGCATAAAATGCACAAAATCAACGAAGAGACCAATCTGATGGCAGAACTGACCAGAAACTAACATTGCCCTCGCAAAAATAAAAATTAATGGGAGAGCCACTTTCTTTACCACACACTTTTTTTCATATTTTTTTAGATTTCTTCTCTGATCTATTTAACATCCTTTAAAATGGAATGCTGATAATTTCTGATCATTTTGAGCATTATCTTCAAAGATATGTGCTCTGAAAGTCAGACCTGCAGTTATATCACTGATTGTCATAATTTCTGTCAGAACATGTGATTAGAATGTTATTGCGACACATAAACATAGACAAAAGGACAAAGATAACAACACTTTGAGTATACTATACAAACTCTGGTATCACAATACAATTAACGGTACCAATTTTACTGTATTAGATGCGCATTTTGACAACTTATGTCTCTTCATTGATACTCGAGGCCAAAATATTTAAAAGACCTAACCTTAATACAAATGCAGAAGAGCCGGCAAAACTAAAAAAGGACCAAAAGTAAAGCCAAACCGGAGAAGGAATCAGAGCTATGGATGAGGGAATTTAAAATGATTTTGAATACTAGATACTAAGCTTGTAATACTCTCAGGGACTAACAGTCCATAAGCAGAACAAAATGTGAAAAGAAAAATCCACGGAAATAAGTAAACTGAATTTTATATGTGGCATTAAGTTCTTTTATAGTAGACGTGTGCTAAGACTACCTTCGCATCTTTCTCCTGATAAACCATTTGAACATTTACACAGGTAATATGGAGCATTTAAAGAATATACACACTTTCCATTATTTCTGCATGGATTATCTATACATGGAGTAACTACAAAATATAAAGTTTGTGGAGCAAACGCAATATATCTATTATTTGTATAGTGAATCTAAAGTCAGCAAGCACTTTTCAAATATTGATTGCAAGTAGCGATAATAACTACAGGTAAACGTTATGTTACTTTCACTTTCAATGTTTCCATGCAATAAACTATATAACATAATTACTGATATTTGTGAATATTACAAGTCGTCAATTGTACATTACATTATGAAGTTCAACCAATTACTAATAGCTAGGCATATATTAGGGAAATTGTTCCGCATTGATCAAGTTTTTTTTTAATTTTGCATATGGAATATTTTTGCTCAACTATGCTTCATTATGATGGATGAAGCAGAAGAAATATATCAAAAGTTACGAAATAAGTGTTTCATTTGCTATACTATATTTTAGCGCTTCAAATAAATACAAGAACGGATTTAAACAAAAGCAACATGTATCAAATAATTAAAATACTTTTACATCAACAGTAAATAAAGCACCTGATATAAATTAAGGTAGAGGTTAAATTGGATTACTGCTTCTTTACTGTCACTCCCCTCATCTACTGACCTAATCATATATTTTTACTTGAGGTGAATTGAAAACTCAAATAAGCGTACCTTCGCACTCTCTTCCTGAAAAACCGTCTAACATTTGCATTTGTAGTATGGATAATTCACAGAATATTCACATTCTCCGTTATTTTGACATGGATTACTTGTACATGGAGTAACTATAAAAAAACAATGTCGTACAGAGGCGATGTATATATTGTTGGTATAGGAAAGTTAATGCCCTGTAGATAGAAACCACAACTTTTAAAAGTTGTCGGTATTGTGTCATTATTATTGCTAGAAAATTGCAAAGTAAGAACAACGGCAATATACAATGTATTTTATTGGTTTTTCCCATATTTTGTTCAACTATGCAGATTTTTACCTTTATCATGAATATGTAAGAAAATAATCTTATTTTTTAAACTGCTGTCATTTATCTTATGGACAAAGCTTATGAGCATAAATATTTGTTTGAACTAAAGCAACTAGTGATATTTGATAAACCAGTTAGTGGAAAAAACACTTAAATTGATAACAAAAGAACTGTTATTTTTATCAATAAAACCCGTTTTTCTAGTTCGCACTAATAAATACAATGATAACAACAACAAAGTGTTAAACAAATAAAAAAGAA